TCACCGGTGGCGTGGTCATTCGGTGTGACCTAAAACGGTGGCCGGTCCCGCGACCGGTTAGTCACCCGCAGTGGGTCACTGGTGACGGAGGGAGGGAGGGGAGAGGGAGAGAGAGAGAGACGAGCGAGAGAGACAGAGAGAAGGGGACACCTGTTCTGCTTCTGGGATCGCTCGTAAGAGGCCGATAGCACGGTAGTTGGATGCACCTGCAGAGAGAGCCACACACTGACACGGCTGGCCAATAGAGAGAGCAGCTTCGAATCATGCTAGGAATGAGGGTTCACAATTCCCAGTGAGAGTGTAACCATAGTGGCAGGTGCAGAGCACCGTGCATCTTAGCGGAACATAGAGTCATGCGTGTAATACACGGGTGACGTTCGCTTGCAGTTTTTGTAAGGTAATTACGTGTCCTACTCTCAACGACTAATCATCAGGCCATGACTGTCCAAAACAAGGATGCAGAGGCTGGCGTGGAATGGCGGAGCGCTGCAGTCTAGAACAGAAGTCGAGCCGTGTGCCTCGGCCTCTGAGGACCAAGCACGGGATGATTGTATGGGCAGTCGAGGGCCGGACCGAAATGGGCCATCTATTCAGCTGCGAATGCAGCTCCTCTATATTGGAGACTGGGGCCGTCTGTGCGCTAGCAGCAGGTCTGTAAAAGGTATCTGGGCCAGCCAGACTATAACCATGTGCTGGTTATTCTGCTGACATCTTCTAACTACTGACCAGTCAGGGAGAGCACATATAATTACTACGAACGCATCACGCCAACCTGAAACTACGGGTCTGCCCAATCTCGGCATCTGCATTCTGTAGCAGGCGAACTTTTGTGAGCTCAACTTATGTGACCACCGCTGACGCCATTGTGCGTGGCCAGAGCCCCCCCCTCCTCGGAGTCCTCTGTTCCTCCACACCACCTTTTCATCGCCATCCTGCCGCTACCATCACCACTATCATCAGCTGTCCTGCGGGGTCATTAATCGTACCACCCGACGTCCGCCCCAGCTGACAAAAACCCGACCGGCCGAGCCGACTCGAACCCCGGTCAGCGCCACGGCCTGTGAGGACAGGCTGGCGATCGGGGGCACAGATTTGGGACAAAGATTCCAAACGGAGATATCAACGCACCGCTAACGAAGAAGATCTAGATAAGTGAATTTCATGACGGGTCATGCGAACAAGAATCGTCCATTCGTGTAGAGGTATCAGGATAAAATAGCTCAAAGACTAAAGAGCATCCGAAGCATCTGTCATTTCGACATGCCAAAACGCCTCACAGCGCGGCGGTGCGACCCCGTGGCGTGAGTCGCATGCATCCCGCGTAAATACCTCGCGGGCCGTCGGACGCGTGTGCGTGGAGCCACGGAGGGTCTCTCGCGAGTCTCTCGAGCGGAGAAGGCGCAGTCGAGCGTGTCGCAAACGACGCTGGGACGGCCAATTGGGTGGGAGGGTGGCGGCGGGCCAGCCAGCCGGGCGTCCAGTCAATACGGGGTGCAGCTCAGTTCCGCGCCGCCGAGCGCCGCCCCTCCACTCTGGATCCGCGGAGACTCGGGAGAGGTCCGGGAGAGGACTGAGAGAGGACTCGGAGAGGACCAGGAGAGGACTGGGAGAGGACCAGGAGAGGTCCCGAGTGCTCCTTGAAAGGTCCGATAATCTCACGTACTCATTGGATACTCGATCGAACCTATACATGCTGCCAAACCCACGTGTTCTCTGGTGGTCCGAATAAGACCACGTGCTCCCTGGAGGTCTACCATGTTAACCCTCGCCCATGTAGGGGGGGGGGTTGGTGCAACCCCCCCCCTGAGGTTTTTCTTAGCTACACGCCGAACCGTTTCAGATAGCCTGCTCAAATTTTCAGTACCCTCTGGGGCATCCTTTGCGCAACTTTTGGTATTTTTTGTCAAGGTCATGTCAGGTCACGGAGCTATGACGTCGTAAAGGGAACAACCTCCGGCCAGATTTACGCTAAATTGGAGATTGCTTCACATTGGTATAAATGCCGACTGACCTGACACACTGATGGATTGTTTTAGAATCACAACTGGCTGATTTGACATTGGCACAATGTCCGTTGACATTTTGAAGGTTACTCAAGGTCAAGGTAAGGTCAGTGACCTCGGTTGACCTGTACTGACTTCTTGCACTTGTATGCCTTTTCGGGGTATTTTGATGCCCTGAATTCGAATTTGCTATCCATTTCAGGCATCGTCGGTTGTTTCTTGTAGTTCATTTTGGGTCAGGGTCAGGTCAGTGACGTCACACGCCTGACGTGACCCAATGCACAAATGACCTTGCAAACTTCCGATGCTCCCAACGCATTATTTTTAGAGTTATGACATCGAAATACACACCAAACGATAGAGAATTGATCAAGGATCACGATAAAGAAGGTTTCAAGTCGATATCTCTTACCGTTTTGCCGCAATCGGCGCAGAAATCCGAAAAAGTTAGATTTTTCCAAAAAATTGACCTTTGACCGGTCATAAGTAGGTCAAATGTTGACCTAGGACCAGAAAATATACCACCAATCGCGAGATCTCGTTGAGAGCAATCCGTTGGTCTTTTCCGCTAAGCTCTACGACGCTCCGTTTTCAAACGCCAGGGGGGGGGTCGCACCAACCCCTCCCCCCCTGCATGGGCGAAGGTGGCAAAACACCGTTTACGGGCGAGGGTTAAGCTCTTTGTGGTTTTAACCGATCCCATTTGTTCCTTGGTGGTTTGATCACGCCCATGCTCCCTGGTGGTCTGACCGACGTTACACATGCTCGGTCAAGAGGCTTTCATTGGCGATTAGGGTCGAGCCAGCTTGTCGCGAGGAATTCTGACAGAAGTCAGCTCACTGCGCTAACAAGTGGCCGAGACTTCTGGCTAGATTTCTGGCTCCCAACCAGCACTTCTCGCGGGCACGAGAAAGCCGTCCGGGCGCACACGACTGACCTCAACCGAGTCTGACCGGCCCCACCAGCCTCGGTTCAGTGGCGCACAAAAACGTCTTGACTGGACGAGTCACGTCGGCGCCTCGGCACGCCCAGGGAGCACGTGCCCGTGGCGGCGCGCACGTGTCGGCTCGTGGCGCAGACGGCACGTGCGGGACGGCGGGAGGCCCTTCAGACGTGGCACACGCCTTCCGTCTAGTCATCAGGCCGGCACGTAGCGTTCAAAGCACAGCCGTGGCTAGTTTGTAGGTATGAGAGACTTCACTGGGCGGTCACAGTGGTGGAACGGCCGGAGTGGCGGCAGTCGGTGATTTTTCACGGTGGCCGCACAGCGTGGGTTAGAAATGAATCACTCGGCGAGACGCCGGCTCCGATTTGTGGCCGGGATGGACAGAGCGGTGGGCGGCGGGTGATACTTGGTGGGGCCGGCAGACGTGATGGGATATTGCCATGCCACGGAGCACGCGCTCCACCACGCGGTCTAGCCCGGGTCTGACTGGGATGAGTGGCCGATATGTCTCGAGATTTCTCTCGGCTGCCCCGGGCGCCCGTCACGGGTGCCCATTCCTCCTCTCTGCTCCATCCCTCCTCCCCTCTGCCCCTCTCTCCTCTCTGCCCCTCCCACTCCTCGCCCGGAGCTCCGACAGGCATTTCCGGAGTTACCTGAGCCTCTTGCTGCCCTCTCTAACCCGCGCACCGACGGGGGTCTGCGCCAACTTAGTACCGACGGGGGGGGGGGGCGGATGACCGCCCCCCCCCTGAGATCTCGAGAACGAAGCAAGATAGCGACAAGCGGTAAACGGCATCGGATACGCACGGTCAAGATCTACAATTTTTACTAAGGTCATTTTCAGGTCAGGTCAAAGATGACGTCACAGGGGTCGAAAAAGTCAAAATGGCGGCGCTAAATATGGAGAGAGTTTTTCTCGAATAACTTTCGAATTAGTCAAGATAGGAACAAACTAAGGGCATCATCGTGATCCTCTCGTCAATCCGCATCGAATGATATATATGTTGACCTCGAAAGGTCAAGGTCAAAGGTTGACCTCAGGTCACGTGACCTCGAGGTCATCATGTATATCATTCGATGCGTCTTGACGAGCTGAACACAATGAGACCATCCACGCGTCTGTATCTTGTTCCTGTACGGAGTTATTGGCCAAAAACCTTTGGTGACCTTTGATGACGTCACATGACCTCACAGCTGCCCAACAGCAAAACAGACCTCAAGGTAGTGAAGGTTGATCGTATATGAAGTCATGTATGGTATATGGGGCCATTCCGACCCGTTTTAGTGGTAAAAACAGGGAGTTGATTTTTCCCCCATTGACTTATAATGGGGAGGTCGCGAAATTGACCTGACCTTAGGTCACCGATATCAAAATTCCGAGATATACAAATTGTAGCTACTAATGACCTAATAACATCCTGCGACTTTCAAAGGCCTCCGACATCTACTGTAGCTCTGGCACGGTGACAAAGTTGCAAAAAAGTGACTTGAGGTTGGGTCATTCAAAGTGACCTGGTGACCTGACCTTGAAAGGTAGGAGGTTCAAACTTGCACACCATGTGTAAAATTGATGAGGGAATAGTCATACCAAATTTCGCGGCGCTACGCGCCGCGGTTTTCCCGCTATTTGCGAAAAACCTCAGGGGGGGGGCGGATATCCCCCCCCCGTCGGTGCGCGGGCTAATCTCTCTCCCTGGGGAGGATCGTCTTACTCGAGCACAACGCGTACGAAGCCCTACCTCCGCGCCGCCACTTCAGAGTCCGAGAGCCTCTTCTTGGCGGCGGAATCCTAACTCGGTAAAAACAGTCCACCGCTAACCGCCCTGACGGAGGACCCGCTGAAATATGACGCAGTTTTTGCCAGCGGATTTTGAATAATGCCGACGATCAGGCAGTCGGGCGGACATTTGATCACGCAAATACCGAGAGTCACGACAGATAACGAGCGGTTCACAGCCGGCGCTTTGGCGGCTCAGAGGCTCGGCGAGCGAAGCTGCATAACTCGGGGGTTGTTCGGTAGCAGGGTGTGTCGATGTGCATTCGGTACTCACCGTGACCCCCGCTGCTGTCGGCGGCTCGCCAGGTCGTGACCGGTCTTGACCCGTCCCGGCAGGCAGAGTGACCGCAGTAGTTGGCGGCGCCTGCTCGACCGGCCGCTGCTGTTGCTGCTGACGGGGCAGTGAGTAGGCCGGCGGGGGCACCTGAGCTCCCCACTGCACGGTCGCTCGATTAGTTCCAGTGCCAGGACCACTCCCATCTGGTCGGGAGGTGACTGCCGCGCCCTGCTGAGCCCCGCTCGTCCCCGCCGCTGAGCTTGGAGGGACGGGTTGTTTGCTCGGGCTAGGCTGGTACGGGTGTCTCAGAGACGCCGCTGGCGGACCTCCAGCGTGACCTGAGGTCGGCCGCGTCGCGTCAGGCGCAGGCCAGCCTCCAGCAGGGTCAGGAGGTCCCCAACTGACCGTCTGCCTCGGCGCCTCTCGCTGCTGGTAAGCGCCCTGCTGCTGAACATGCGGTGGGCCGGCGGTCGCTCTGGACACCTCCCCTCCATTCGACGGCTGGGCGCCGCCGTTCTGAGCTGCAGGCCGGTTGAAGAAGCCAGCGCTGGAGGATGTAGCCGGTTGGAAGGCCCCCGTCAGCTGGACCCGAGTGTCCTGGTAGACCCCCGGACCGGCGCCGTGCGGGCCAGGCTGCGGCGGAGGTCGACCTGAGGCTACCAGTCCGTTGGGGACGTGACCGTTGGCTGGGGGTACCACGCCGTTGGCGACCGCTTTTTGCGCGTCTGGGGGCACCAGCTCCACCTGAACGGCCGGGCCCGGGTCTGAAACAAACAGTAAAAACAGTAAGGAGGACGGAAGGTTTTATAGGTAATGTGTATTGCTGCATGTGTTTGTTGAGAGGGTAATGCATTAGAATCTTACTCATACCCCAGCTTAATGATGTGACATCTTGATCACCAAAAAACACCCTTTTTGTGGTTGTTACCGTCTTCGATAACCGTACTCCTTTTGAAAAAAAAATGTTGACTCCATCTACATATGTGCCATAGTTCGACCCATTGTCTGCTGGTTCCACTCTACCTTGAATTCAGCCCTCTATTTTCTGAAGCTTGCAATCAAATACGATACACATTGTTGATTCCTGAATAGCCGGATGCGCTGCAAACTTGACAGCCAATCTAGTCGAGTTGGACACCCAATTTCGTCACAGACGCTTGGTTCAGAAAACATGCCGGTCGATCACAAAGTTGCCCTTGCGTGCATAAGCGGACCCCGTTTAGACGAAAACTTTGGCCCCTCTGACACGGAAGGGATGCGGGCGTGAGACACTGCCGGGGACGAGATGACTTGGGGAAGGGAGGGAAGGCAGGGTAGGGAATGAAAAAGTCGAACCTCCTGGGAGCAGTTTGATAGAAGTCAGGCCGCCGGCAGCCAGTCAGTGGAAATGATGGATCGTGGAAGGCTGAATACTTAAAAATGCAAATTTGCCGCCGCACTGCGCGAACGCTGCAACAAATTGGAGCCAATCTAGAGATTGATGTTCTCACTGAGTGCAGTGGTAAGTTCGTTTCCGCTAACAATGAGGTTATACGAGCATGAGAGAGTTGACAATTCATGTCATCTGGAAGTCTTTCCATCTCTGGCCCGCGTTTTTAGCATAGACACACGGTCACGGAAGTTCCAATCGCTGCACTATAGCGGCTGGTCGCTGACAGATCATTAACATAACTCATAAGTGACTTTGGTGCCTAATCACTTAATGAAAACCACACAATCAGGAACGTTTTTAATGACTGGGATCATTAGAATTACATTAGCGATGTGCACAATGCATACTGAAGTGGGACCGGTCGCTAATGGCAACGGGGCGCGAGGCTGATCAGTGAAACCATTTTACATTAAAAAGACACCGTTAAAAGGCAGGTTAAATAAAACGCATACCGTTTCATATATCTGCTCAGAGCGGATCAAAGTATGTACGTAACTGAGGTGTTTGAAATCCTCCGTCAGCTATACCGGCACGACTCAGTCAGATTCGGTTCGAAAATTTGTAAGTTCGATGCAGTGTGATTCTCGGAAGTGATGCTAGACTGAAACTCAAGACGTGCCTGCATCAAGATCCACTGTACTGCAGAACATCCATAGTGCCCGTGGGACTTAAATTGTGCATAGTTAGTGTTCGGGGAGCCCTCATATTGCGGTTAAAAGTATAGACTTGCACAAAGCCGAGAAAAAGAAAACGTTTTACTAAGTTGGATTTGCTGTTCAATTGCCAAAATTGGACATCAGATGGATTGCCAATGCTAGATGCATTTTGTGAACGTCAGCTTTATTATGTTGTTCAATTAATGCAACGGCTAATTACTTCATTTATCTCTGTTTATACCTAATGAAGAAACGTACTGAAGCTGAAAATACAGGCCGCTCATGTGAACATTTATTAACCTGACAGCTCCTATGAACTTGAAATGGCCCCCGTTAGATTTCATAATCTTTTCAGTAGTTCATAAACTGTACTTAAATGACCAACTCTGTAAGTTAACTATGTGCAAAATTAGACGTCAACTCATTTCATAATCTATAACAAACGAGGTTAGGTATGACGAAATCTTTTTCAGCTTTATCTAGTTTATTTTGCAGAATGGGTTGGTATCTTTTTTTAATTACACGTTCCTCTTCCAATTCAGTGACAGCACAAATCCTGTTGCACTCCACCACCACGCAAGTGTCACAAGGTAGCTACATAAACTGTCCAGTGTCCGTGTCACGTGACACTCCCCAGGTCACGTTGCCGGAACTCACAACGAGCACGTGACACACCGAAAGTCGCGCAAAAACGCAGCACCATGTTCCGCTATGGAATGTGACCTCGCCCACCCCCTACTCATGTATTTATTGGTATGGGGGCTGTGATTTAACCGATCCAACATACTGACCTGATAATAGGCGACAATAGCTTATCATTACATGGGACAACGTACAGATGCAGTAATGAAAAACATGATTAAACGAAAAAAGTTTACTTTTATCTGCCCGTAATCAGAATCTCCAACTGTATATCCCTATTGTACGAGCATATATCTTATGCTAGAATGAAGGGGATGGAAGAGATGCAGAAAGCTATGGAGAAGAACAAGTGAAGCTGGGGAGGAGAATGGGGATAGGAGAATGGCGTACTCGGTTTGGTTATAAACTACGCCTGAGGTTGCCGATACTCGACCTCAAGACACCATGGTCGTCGAAAGTCTCAATGTCAGTCCATCCATAGCGTCCCTCACTCCCAGCAATGCAAAACAAAGAACAAATGCAAACAAGCCCACACACCTCCACAAAAGACCGCTCGCCCCACGCATCAGTAGGTAATTTAGCCGATCGACCTCCCACACAGTCCACCAACGCGGCGTTCCCACGCAGAAACACTGCACGCAAATGACGCGTGCACACACACGCCACTCGCTCATCTCCGCTGTGTCGGAGCGGAGTTCCGCAGAGTTCCGCGGAGTTCCGCATCCGCCGAGTCCGCCCGCCCAGCTCAGCGTCGGTAATGCGGAGATCAAACGCCTACTGAGTGCCGCTAATCCTGTCCGACACGACGCCCAGATGTATCGACGCACCACACGCCGTCGAGCGGGGATGCTCTCAGTCTGATCGTCCGCCAGGTCAGGTCGGTAGTACAGGGAATAGTGTAGATCGTGTAGGCGGAACCGGGTTTCGTCACCGTGGCGGTCTCCTTAGGACTACAGAATGGTCGTGGAATTAGGAAGGTAAAAATGCAGGTGCAGGGACGTGTAAGCTGGGATTTCTGTGCTGCAGAATTCCAGGGGAGCTGCATGACTTCCGTTCTCGTGGACTGCGCAGTGGGTTCATGGTGGATGAGTGAGTGAGAGTGAGAGTTGCACTCGTCCGTATGCATGGCCGGAGTTTGGATTTGAACTCTTTGACTTCTCGCCATGTTTTGGACTCATTCGACGGTGTCTGGGTTCACCGGCTGCTCTTGTTTCATGAGCTGGGCTCTATCTGGCGCATTATGGGTGCGGCTGGCCTCCCCAGGCGTGACCGGCATAAACCGGCAGACTACCACCACACCGGCCCGGTGCGGCGTCCGACAGTGGTCCCAACAGTCGGCCGAACAGTCGGCTGCCGCTGCCGACGAACCGCGATCAATAGGGGCACAGACGGCCGCCACGGACCAGGTCACCGGGTCGCCACCACCCCCTATCTTTACGACCGACCGTCGGCGGCCGGACGGCAGTCGGCACCGCCGTGATCCTTGATTGGCCCCGGCAGAAAGGTCGTGGCCGTTGACGGCTGACGGCCGCCGGGGCAGCCACAGGTCTGGAGGAGACGGCCGGAGAACGCCTCATGCATACGTGGGAGCGTTATTGGAGTAATGAGCCTGCCAGCGCCGCACGACGGGAGCGACAGGGGAATACGGTCCGATGAGGAAAGGAGAACGGAGTGGGGTCGATTGGGGAGGAACGGAACGGGGTGAGCTGGCGGAGAACGGAACGGAATGGGGTTTGACTGGTGGTATTGTCGGAACGGAACGGAGCTCAACTGGGAGCAATGGACGATGCGGAAAAGGGCTCAACAAACGAGCAACTCTCAATAAAGCATATATCAAGAGGGTCAACAAACGAAAGGGAACGGGGCTCAACTGGCGGTGAACGGAACGGAACGGGAATCGACTGGTGATGGCGAGCGAAGCGGACCGGGACCAATCGCTGTGGGCGGGCGGACTAACCTAACCGGTCCTGTGAGTGGGCCAATGAGGAAGGCGGCTGTTTACCTGTGTCTATTGTGTCACTATAGAAAGTTCTGACTGAAAACACCGTATAGTAGGTAAATTGTACGGTAACGTTTCGTGTCCGTGGTATAAAAGGAGGGATTGACTGCGGATTCAGAAACGTGCAAGGTGAATGAAGGACAGAGACGGCAGGACGTTTACAAATCAGGTGTGCCTAAATGTTGGGTTCTATTCTGTCCTGAGGTGCCATAGATCGCCTCGAAGCGAGCCACTCGATTATCAATTCTTTGGCAAAAGGCACTGATCAGTTGTCACTTCTGGTCCGCTCTGGCTGTGCAAAGTAACGTAACGTAAAATGCGTTCTTGTAAAAAAAAACTGCCAAAAGCAGTCGGCCTTTGGGGATGGCGAACGCAGAATCGTTTCTGACAGCGTAAGTAGGTACATTGAAAAACAGTGATCGGCCTTTCACACTGACTAATTGGGCGCCGTGCCCACACGCTGTGTGGCGGTACAAAACTCACCGGTTGGACTCCGGCCGCAAAAGACACAGCATTTTTGTCCGAGCAGTCTGTCCAGCTTCTGCCACATAGCTGTCTAACTGGTTTCTGGTTATGATGACAGAATGGCCGGAGTTTCACTCAGTCACATGCCATGCAGTTCGGCTAGTCAACACTGATTCACGTCTAAGGTACCCAACCACACAAACGCACACTTAACACTCCAATCCGTCCCATCGCACTCCTACACACTCCCACGGTCCTTCCCAGCTCCAGTCTACACCATGCTCAGCTGGCCCGGTGGTGGGTCGGTGCCGTGCTCCTGCACCGCCGAGCAACACCCACCCCGTCGGACGGCGCGCGCGCGACTGACTGCTGGGCAGGAGCCGCTGCCGTTCTGAAACTCCGCGCACCGCCGCAGCGCCTTCCGCGCCGCCGCGCCACGCCGTGGAAGATCGGCGCGCGGAGGGCGGGGGCGGTCCCTAAGAAATGTCTCATGGGGATGCCTCGCCAGACAGACCGTCTGTCTGTTCGTCATTGGAGTGCACTAACATCCGTCATCAGGAAAAAATAGAATGGACTTTCACATGAGGTTTGTTTAGAAAGGCGTTCAGGACACACATGCCGTGTTAGCCTGTTCCGGTCTATGCTTTCCGTGAACTTTGCGGGTTTTACTGGGCATTGTGCTTGCAGAATCATACAATAATTTTATGCTTGCATGTATTGGGTCTATGCTACTGGTAGGATTACACCAGATCTAGTGGCGAAACCAGTTGGTATTGACTGGGCATTTATTGCATAATTATTTTATTGCATAATACGTTTATTGCATAGTGGATTTCATAAGCCATTTGCCGTCGGTGCTATTTCATGAGACTCATTGGTTTTGAGTACCAGTCGTTATGTCATCGACATTAAAACATTATCATGTTACAATATACCTATCTTGGCTCGCTTCGCGATTCGAACGTTTAACATGTGGATTAGCTATCTCCTTTGCCAAACAGAGTAAGCTTTTTTCTTATAACATACTGCTATCTTCCTGCTTTTTGATTTGCACTTTTCATCAACATTCGGTTTTACGATCGTCTAGGCGATCGTTTATAACCCGATTCAAACTGAGATGAATTTTCCCCGGAAGACATGGTGCAACAAGTCGGGCTTCGTCCGCGGGCTTACAGCATTTTGAGATCCTCAGAGTGGCGCAATATGCCACAAATGTTATAGGCTGTCAGCGAAGTTAAGAAAAGTTCAATTGATAGCTACCTATATAGATATATTGTTTGCAAAGGGCAGGTGGCATTGGACATACCAGATCACAGTGCACTGCACATAACTTATAACGGTAAAAAATAATTTTTGTTAGTTCTTTATTGTGCTTAACTGGTCTCCATATTGTTTCAATATATTTTTTACCTTTCTTTATTCATGTACTTCTTTAACTTAAATTACTATTTCAGCCTAGATGTGTTGAAATTATGCCAACTGTCGCACAAACCCAAAAAAGTTAATTGCTGCGGGGTCTTGCATGCCAAATCACGAAGCGAGTCGTCTGGAGTCCCTGGAACTTCTGCTGAAGTAGTGAGACGTAATCTATTGCTGTCGTCACTTGACTGGACTCCGTCCGTGTCGCTGCAACAAATGGGTCACAGATTCCAAACTCCATCACGGCACAGTCGCGGGAGCAGTGACCCCTGAGCCAGTAGCCGCTGGGACAACTCGTAAGATTGATAAGTACATTTCATGATGGTTTGAAATAATACCGGGTTCTTAAACATTTGTTTGATACCTATTTATTTCTCCAATTTAGTTGCCTAGTTACTCATTTTTTATGTAGGTATGACACCCACACCATGCTTCATGACAAAAGTAGAATTTAATAACTTGGATTGGGAGGCCAGCAGCTGAACTTTCTCCCGGCAGTTTGAATCAGTCAGCTCTCAAACCATTGCCTCCGTCTGACACATCACCAGCTCAGATCGTCGTCATCAGCGCTGCAGCTCGTCTCCGATGTGTGATGTGACAGATGGGTCCAATTTGGTCGGCGGCTGGGACACAGTCGCAGACGGCGCCGGCACGGCCGAGAAATATCGCCCCCCGTCTCAGCGACCCACCAAACTCGGCCGCCGCCTGGGGTCGTCCCACGGGCAGTCGACGCCGGACGCTGGACGCATTTTACGGCGACAGATAAGCTAAAAGAGTCTCGCCTCGCAACTCGAGAGGGTGATTCTTTATCTGAAGTGCTCTGGTCTGCGCAGATAGGTGAACAAATATTTTAAAATTAAAAAAGAACTGGGTCATCTGCTGAATGGTTGATTTAAGTTATAAACATAGCCGGAAAGACGACACTTAAGTATGTCTATGGACATTTGAAATTATATATTCTTGAAATTTTGTCCATCATATTCTCATAATATGATTATTCACAAACGTTCTGTTCGGTTGAACCGTATTATAATAATGCTTTCTACTTTCGCATTTTGTGTTCAATCTGGTAATTTTTATCAATTTTTAACGAGACCAGGTCCCAGCGACGTTGATACTGATATGTGAGATTAACTTTGCTATAATCACAGCTACTGCGCCGCTTCCCCGGATAGGTACCCGGGCGAGGAGATTTCATCCGGCGGCGATTTGGCCGAAGCTCGGCAATCCACCGAAATGCGCCCGGCGCGGCTGGCCGGCGTTTCATTTGAACCGGTGGGATTTCGCTAATGCCCTGGGCGCTGATAACTGCGCCCATTATACTGCACGCCCGCTAGTTTCCGGTGACCAGATTCCTCGCCGCGCACCAGCACGGCGCGGGTGAGCTTCTCCGCCAACCCCGTTCTGAGTCGGCTATTCAGCCAGAGTTTACGGCTCCTCAAAGCGGCGCCCCGAAAAATCTTTGAGGCGAAATTGGGCGATGTTTACTCTCCGTGGGCTGCTGTGTGACAGAGGGGACGGACAAAACAGCAGCCGTTCAGAGGAGGAGGGTGCTGCATCATCCGGTTGCTATATACGAGGAGTCACAAGTGGCCAGAGAGGGTGGTGGACGCACAACGGGCCACAGCAGGCTGTGCGGCTAGCGAGGGCAGCCGGCACTTGTTGGGGCTACCCAAAACAAATGATAGCAGGACTCTGTTAAAAACAGTCGTAGATAAAAAAAAACAGTTGATAAAAAGCCAAACTATATTTAAGTCGGTGTTATTCATCATTTAGTTGATCCATTCGCATATCAAAATGAGGAAAAAGGGGTTGCAAATTTACAAGATAGCAGAAGATACACAGAGTACAAATTATTATTATCATTATTATTTTATTATTTGAATTGTATCCTACTTAGCATTTGTGTGGTAGCAGACAGTTCCTTTCTGCTTCACCCACCGCCCATCGCCCGTTTGTATGCTGCAGTCGGGTACGGCATAGACGGAAGGCACGCGGCCGCCGGCAGGCAGGTTTGTTTTCGGCCCATCTCGCCGCAGGTCGGAGGTAATTTACCATCGAGGAGAGGAGGGGCTGTTGAGCACGAACACGCCAGGTCGTCGGCAGCGGACCGACGGCGGACGCTGGGGACCGGCGGCGTAGAACAGTCGGCACGCGACTCGGAGGTCTCCAGCGACGGTCAGAGGGAGCCGTTAGATATTTTAGAATCGCGAACGTTCTGTGGTCGCTGACAATGTACCGAGAAGTTTTATAGCCTCTAGCTTCTGACTTGTCATGGCACATACTATTTAGAGTCACCGACTCTGTTTTAGTCCTTTGCCACCTCGTTCTTATGACGTCCTCGAAATTTTATTACACAGTCTCCAACCTTGACCGACTTTCCCATGACCTTAACACGCGCCCGATTCTGTTACACAGCCGCAGACCCTTACCTCAGTGTATGTACATTTCCTAATCTCCCCGAAAGTCTTGACCCTCATAAAACAGTGTTTGGCCATCGCGTGGTACAGCAAACTTGCCCAAACTTTCCAGGAAACGACAGAGCATCCATCCACTCTCATCATTGACCTGTTGTAAACCGGGATACAGCTCCACCAGAGGTTTTGTTTTCAGGCGTTCATGGTTTTGTCGGACGTTTCGGCTACGTGGCTGTTTGGTGTTCTCTTTGTTTCTACTCTGTGGACGCAACACCATTTCACCGACTTTTCTTGACTCACCGACTCATTTACGTGATGGTAGCTCTTTGAGCGTCCGATGTTTGTTTTCTTTTACTTTCTCTCTTTATACTATCTACCTACCTTTCTATGTCTTTTTCAACCCTTCCCGCCACACTTTCATCACCTCTTTTCTTTTTCCTTCATCCCCTCTTTTTTCCTTTGTGTCTCATCATGTTGAATGAAAAATTAACAGTCGAAAACAAACTTTTTTTGCTCGCGACAGCATCAAGGCAGTCTCCTTGACCTTGTCTAGCGTTGTTTGGAAAATTATTCTTTTAAATATCTGTAACCATCCAAGTCAGGCTTCAGGAGTCTACTTCAGGGAAAGTATTTGCAATCTTGAGACTCGGCCTGCATGTAAATGCGGCTTCACCATTCGATGAATAATAAAGCGAAATCTTATGCCACAGCCGCACTTGGGTATTCTATCCGGAAACTTCGTCAGTCCATCAAAGTAATCCAGAACTCTTGTGTAATGTGATCACTAGTCTAGTGGCAATGGATACTCGTTCCGTTGGTTTCACATCCGGAGTACAAGGCCTAAGTTCTACAGAAACGGCCATGTCAGCAATGAACGATTTCAGTCTGTCTAGCCGGATCTGGATCATTATAGCCGTTTTCACGACGGGCTATCCGGCGAATGCACCTGATTTGATCAAATCTGCACCTAATTTCTTTTACAGCAAATATCTTCATTTTTTGAATTTATTTCAGTGTTTTAATCGATGATTCTCTCTGATAATATGACAAAGCAGGCATATAAGCAGTTAGTGCAACCCTAGCTGATAGCTAGTAAGAAACACACTGAACCTGATTTGACCAAATCTGCACCTAATCTGTACCAGATGTGCACCAAATGTGTACCAGATGGCCGTCGTGAAAACGGCTAATATTATGTTCTGGTTATTGCCAGAGCTTGATGAAATCATACTCGAGCTACGTTTTAGTACATATCGCTTCTTATATTCGAGTGAGTACAGAGATGTCGTTTGAGCCTTAGCTGACGCCTTTTTACATCAAGCACCATGCATTGTGATATAAGATTTTAAACATCCACCCATCCATTTGCGAGAGCCAGAGCTCAGAAAACCAAACGCATTCTAGTGTCAGAATTCAGACTCCGGTCTCCGCTGAACTGTCAGCTGACGTCCGTCGCTCGGACAGATGGTAATTTAACCAGTTTTTACC